CCCACCATCTCGTCGCTCACGACCGTTTCATCCTGTCCCGCCCTTTAACCGATCGAAGCCCTCCTCCCCCCCTCGTCTCTCTCTCCTGAGTCCTATCCAATTTTATATCGCCGCATACCGTTTCTCGTCGAGTCTGCCTGTATAATTTTCTCCTTTCTGTCTGAGTTAGCAGCCTTTTCCATTCGATATCTTCTCTTGCGCGATATATATCCATCCATCCAAGCCCACAGTTTCTTTTTCTCTTCCTCGCAATGGCTGAGAACGCCCAGCCCACCACTTCTTCTACCCTTCCTCACCCTCCCCAACCCTCTGCAGGTGCCCCTGGTCAGCAACAGTTCGATGGGTCCCAGGGCAACGGGCAGGCAAACCCGGCACATATGCCTCCACCACCTCTTCCCCCTGTCGTGATCCCCCAGAACACCAATCCGATTCCGACCGCGATCACCTCTCCGATGACCGGCAACATGATGTCCCCGTCCAGCACCGGCGGCTTTGTCCGTCGGGCTGCTCCCGAACCAAACAAGCGCGCTCTGTATATTGGAGGTCTTGATGCTCGCGTTACCGAAGACATCTTGAGACAGATCTTTGAAACCACCGGGCACGTGCAGAGTGTCAAGATCATTCCCGACAAGAATGTAAGCAGCTATCACGGCTGTCAACGGACTTTCCGCCTCCCGTGCCCTTCACTGGACTCGCTAACATCTTCTTTTTTTGTCTTACTTAATTTTTTTTCTTTGCTGTTCTATTTTTATTTTTTGGCCCCCTTTGTTTTTCTTTTCTTTTCTTTTTCTCCTCTTCTCTTTTACCATTCCATCCAACACTAACACCACACTACACACCAATTGCCTCCCAACGTTTCTATTTGAACAGACTTTGCTAACAGTAATATTTTCTTGACTGTTACAGAGCAAAGGTTTGAACTACGGTTTCGTTGAATACGACGACCCAGGCGCCGCTGAACGAGCCATGTCTACCCTCAACGGACGCCGTGTGCACCAGTCTGTAAGTTGCCATCTGAGTTAGATTATTATCATAGATATCATCAATAGCAACAATGATCTATACGTTGGATTATTTGGCTGATCGTTCCATACCATGCTACAGGAAATTCGCGTGAACTGGGCGTACCAGTCAAACAACAACAACAAGGAAGACACTTCAAACCATTTCCATATCTTTGTTGGTGACCTGAGTAACGAAGTCAACGATGAGGTTCTGCTCCAGGCATTCTCTGCCTTCGGCTCTGTTTCAGAAGCCCGTGTCATGTGGGATATGAAGACTGGTCGCTCTCGCGGCTACGGCTTCGTTGCATTCCGTGAACGTCCAGATGCTGAGAAAGCGCTGAGCTCCATGGACGGAGAGTGGTTGGGTTCTCGTGCTATCCGTTGCAACTGGGCAAACCAGAAGGGCCAGCCGTCCATCTCCCAGCAGCAAGCTATGGCTGCCATGGGCATGACCCCGTCCACCCCATTTGGCCACCACCATTTTCCCACCCATGGAGTCCAAAGTTACGACATGGTTGCGGCTCAAACACCCCAATGGCAAACCACCTGCTATGTTGGGAACTTGACCCCATATACCACACAGAATGACCTTATCCCTCTCTTCCAGAACTTCGGCTACGTTGTCGAGACCCGATTCCAAACCGATCGCGGCTTTCGCTTTGTCAAAATGGATACTCACGAAAAATGCTGCCATGGCCCATCTGCCAACTTAGCGGCTACAATGTCAACGGTCGTCCATTTGAATTGTAGCGTGAGTGATTCCCTTCTCCTCCCCCCCCCTTGAGTGCTTATATCCTATATGTATAAAGGGACGCCGTATTTGACTCTATTTTTACAAAAATCCATAGTGGGGGATGGGACCGGCCCACCAGCTGGGGCAAATTTGAAGGGTATTCTCCCTCAGCGGAGTGGCCACCCCTATCGGTCAACCTCTAGCACCTCCGCCTCTATTCTCCCGCATATACCGGGTCCAAGCCGATCCTATTGACTTCCTCTATGTTAAGGTAGTCCAGTCTCTCCCACCCCCCTCCTCC